TGCCCTTTGTGCAGGCAGAGCAGCAGCTGATTTCCTAAGTGCCCGTGACACCGCCAGACCAGAAGCCCCACTGGTTCTGAGTCCCAGGCAGCACTGCATGGTGGGGTTCTCCTCCCCATATGACTCCTGACCACATGGTGAAAGTGGCAAAACTGAAGCCTTTCCATGGGTTTGTCAGATTCCCAAATCTGTATTTTCCCTGCTGGCCCCCAGGGCACCATGTCCAGGTTTTCTAGCTCGTTGGACAAGGGATGCCATGATTGGTGACTGAGGAAAAGAGACACCAAGATTCCTGAGAAAAGCAGCCTGGGCAAGCTCTGCAATGGATCTGGAATGATATAGAAACTAAGGTTATCTAGAGAAGGTACATTCAGACAGGATTCCCTTGTCAGGGCCACATCTGGAGTCATAACTCCCAAAGCCTCTGTAGCTCTGCTCCACCAAGTGCCACCATTAACCCCAGCCTCCCTTCCTCAGCTCCTCCCACTTCACCTGATCCCTACCCTGCTTTAGTGTTCCACACTGACAATCAGGTTATTAGGGAGACTGGCACTTCACAATACACACTTATACCTGTTCTTTGTCAGCCTCTGGGCATGTGGTATCCCCATTGTTCAGATAAAGAAGTAAAGGCCAAGGAGGCTAGTGGTATCCTTAGCAATGCATATGAGGCTTCTGATTTGGGTAACATTAAGTACCCCAAAGCCAACAGATACCCTCATACAGGGTAACAGGGCTTATCTCAATCCTAGAAAGTTCACAGAACACTGTAGATACCTTTTTTGTGTGTATTGGAAGAGCAGCTGTTCACAGACTGGATGTTTTAGAAAATCTGAGCAGTTTCTTGTGCAATATGTACAAGGTTACCATGGAGCAGGGCTAGGTAGGATAGAATACACCTACTTTCATGAATGGTTTGACTGCAGGCTAGCCCTACCTGATCTGAGAAAGCCTTTTGTGTATTGATCTGTACTCTCCCTGTCAGATCTCATTCAGAGCTGTTTTGCAGGCAGATGGGTGAAATTTCTTCCAGCTGACATTTGTCTCCTCATATTGTTCCTGATAAATCCCTGAGGAGAAAGGCCTCTGCAGTCCCAGAGGTGGTGCTGGTGTGGAGGGGATGGATTTCACCCTGGCCCAGTTTTTCCTGAGCTGGGAGCCCACTAGATGTTTGGTGATGTCTGCCCTCAAAACACACAGTGGCTCTTGTGTAGGGACCTGAAACCAAATGAGAAGGGGACAGAAAGAGAGGGACTAGTTGTGAAGAGACCATTCTGTCCTTTTACATCCTACAAAGTGAGTCATGTCTCTACTTTAGGTCTGGAGAGGACAATGCTCTTCAGGGTCTGGGCTCTGGTTCTAGGATGACTCGGCCACCCCACTTGACTCAGGCCACTCTGACCCCACCTGTCCTCTTTCAAGGTACCTCTCCACATAGACCTGTGAGCCTCATACCAACCTCCCACCTAAGAACTGAGCCTGATGCTTCCCCAATCAAGGAGGCCTGCTGTGCCTGCCAGCAACTGAGCTGTGACCAGGAACAGGCCCTCCTGGAGGTAATGTTATAGTGGAATGCTGCTTCAAGGGAGTGCAAATGAGGGTGCAATAATACCTGTGGTCCTCAGGTGTTCCTGCTTCAGGGGCAGTGCCCACTGAGGAAAAGTAGAGTAGGGCTGGTGTGAAGAACAACAGAGGTACCAGAAGAGAGACCGTGGAAAGACAGCCTCACAGGTCACACCCTACGAGGCCAGGTCTGAAGTAGGAAAGGAGAGGCTCATGCCTCCCAAGAATGGAGAACCAAAGTAAAACAAAGAGGGGAAGGTGGTGGAATGGAGGGCAGAAAGCAGAGATCTATGTATTACTTCATGGAGTTTCTATGCGAAGACATGGAATACTTGGAACTGCAGTGGTAAGCATAGTCAGAGAGGAAACTGAGATGGAATGTCCATCCAAAGCCTGGCTGTCCTCAAGAAAAAAAATCAATTTTTAAAGGCCCACAAGTATATGCATCCATGTCAAAAAGTTTTTACATACAAGAATGGAGAGATATTCTGCAAGCATTGGAAAAATTAGGTGGTCACCCCATTGTACCCCAGTTGTCTACAGTGAGGGGTGGAACCCAGGGAGAGGATCCCCTGATCTGAGGAGCCCATCTGTCTCCATGTGCTGAGAAAAAAACTGCACATACTCTGTTTAACTAAGAAATCTCTAAGACCTCCTTTTGTACTGTATAGACATGAACCAAAACTGTTCCCCTCCTCAAGGAGGGGAACGGCCTCATCCCCCGTGGTTGCATCCTCAGAAGATAACCTGATGGAATCTCACATTGCCGGGGCAGAGACTGGCCAGCATGGCCTGCTGGGCCATCCCTTCTGCTCCCCTCCTTCCTGGAAATGAGAAGGTTGTTTCTCTTTTAGGCATGCCCTTTACCTTCTGAGTCACAAACTTTTGATTTGGCATGACATGGCTTCTTTAGTTTATAAATCATCATTTTTATTCCAGCTCTTGGCCTGAGTTTTAATTGGTTTTGTCTAAACATGGTCACTTCACTCCCTCCATTAGGGGTGGGCATATCACCCAAAGCTGCATAGTGGAAAAGGAAAAAGCTGATGTGTATGAAACAACAGACCTGTGATGACAACCACCACCTGGTGGTGTGGGGAAAGGAGGAAAGATCTAGGCCGGGTGGCATCACTAATGGCACAGCAGTACTGGAAGTGCCACCTCTACACTCTTACAAATGTGACAGTAAATCCTGGGTATCTTACTTCCTGAGCAACTTAGTATTCTGTTCCTTTATGTTCATAACTGATGAACTCAGTATGTTTCAGTTATCTTAAAATAATAATGGTGCAGTAGATGAGTGGCTAAAAAGCTGTGGTATGTTGACACAATGGAATATTATGGCTATAAAAAAGGAAATCATACCTCTTGTGACAGAATAGATGGACCTGGAGAACATTATGCTAAGTGAAATAAGCCAGATAGGGAAAGACAAATACCACATGACCTCATTTATATGTGAAATCTAATGAATAAAATAAACAAACAAACAAAATAGAAACAGACTCATAGATAGAGAACAGATGAACGACTCTCAGAGGGGAGGGGGTTGGGGGCATGGATGAAGAGATTAAGCAAAAAATAAGCCAAACAAACATATAGACACAGATAACAGTATAGTGACTACCAGAGAGAAAGGAGGTTGTGCAGAGGTGGGAGAGGGTAAAGTGGTGATAAATGGTAATGGAAGGAGACTTGACTTTGGGTGGTGAACAAACCATACAGATAATGTATATGATTATATACCTGAAACCTATATAATTTTGTTAACTAGTGTCACTCCTTTCTGCCAGTCCTTTTATTATTTTAAAAAAATAATACTTTATTTATTTATTTTTAGAGAGAGGGGAAGGGAAGGAGAAAGAGAGGGAGAGAAACATCAATGCATGATTGCCTCTCATGCATTCCCTACTGGGGGCACAACTTGGCTCATAACCCAAGCATGTGCCCTGAATGGGAATTGAACTGGTGACCCTTTGGTTCACAAGCTGGTACTCAATCCACTGAGCCACACCAGCCAGAGCAAAAATAAAAATTTAAATAATAAGGGTGCTGTTCTGTTCTAGCACCTACAGCATGGCTAGATTTTTTAAAATATGTAGATTTTTTAAATATAGAGATCCTGGACTGGGAAAATTATTCACCTAGAAGTCCTCCTGTGTGACAGGAACAGAGCTTCATGAAGGATATAGTGATCCTTCCATTGCCAAGAACCTTGGTGAATGATTTTCTGCGTTTTTAGCTCTCACCATGTGTCCTGAGCCATGGGTAGTGTTTATTCTGAAAGCCTGATTCAGGTATTTTGATTCCTTCTATGGATGCAAAGGTTCCTATGTGGACCTAGCCTGAAAATCAAGTCAGAAAACCATCTGTGGAACCAGTACAACCCGAACTGTATAAAAAAAATTCTACCTCTCCCACTTCCTCTATATGACCTTAGGCTAGTTACTTAACCTCTCTGTGCCCCAGTTTCCTGATTTGTAACAGGGGGTGATAAATAGTAACACACAATGCGAAGAGCTTTCAGGAGTAGGTGAGTAGGGTGGGGTCTGACGCAAAGGCAACATTGTGGTGCGAGTGTGTGTGCGCCTGTGAGAGAGAGAGAGAGAGAGACACAGGAAAAGGAGGAAGAGGAGAAGGAAAAGAACAAGAAAAACAAGGAGGGGAGAGGGAGGAGAAGCAGGGAGAGGAAGGGCAGGGGGAGGAAGGGGAGGAGGAGGTAGAGAAGAAGAAGAAAAGGGAAGAGGAGGGAATTGGCCAAAAAAAAAAAAAAAACAGAGGAAGAGATACACCAGAGAGACCAAGGACCCTGGTGACCAACTTTAGTGTAATCTTAATTTCACCTTTTTGTTTTTGTTTCACATTTTAAAAAGAAAATTTTAAGTTTCTGTAGGTTCTAAACCTCCTTTGAAAAATGAAGAAAGAAAAAAATAGTAAAGTGTTCCCAAAATACTGAAGTGGTTATCTTTAGAAAGTGAGATTCTGAACAGTTTTCTTTTTTAGACATTCCTATAGTATTCCCAGTTTTCCTCATTGTGCAAGTATGGTTTTGAAATCAGAAAAACAACTTTGTGTGTTTTCTACTTGTGTAGAAAGTAGCTACAATGTGTATAATCACAAGGTCACAATTGGGCACACAACTTAGGCCAGAATTGCCCTGGGAGGCAGCAAGCATCAGCACTGAGATTCTATGGCTGGCAACTGGGCCCTCTTTCCCTAGGGCAAGCAAGACCCCAGAGTCCCCCTGGGCATCTGCTGCTGTTGAGCCTCAGCCCCCATAGCACCAGACCCTCCTTGGTCCCCTTTTTCTCTCTGAGGAGTAACTGGTTGCCGATGTGCCAAACCCACTGCCTAACCCATGCTGTTAAGTGAGTGAGCCAATTCCCTCCCTGCCCACTGCAACTGAGCCCCAGATTTTCCTGCTTTCTGTCCTGCAGGCCTTGCAGGTTACAGCCTGTGTGCTCAGAGCTGCAGGCCCAGATCCTTCACTGCAACAGCAACCACCTGCATGAGGTACTCCTGTGCTTGGACCTGGTCAAGGCTTACCAGCGTTGTGTGACCACTGCCCACAAGGTGCCCTGGGTTGCTGGGCTGTGGGGGTATGGGGGGCAGGCACTGCCAGTGCTGAAACTGCCATCTTTGACTGCTACGTCAGATATTCTAACCTCAAGGTCTCTGCCTTTAACACAGTGAGGGACTCGTGGGCCTTAGATTCCCTCAGTCACCTCCTAGTTCAGATTTTCTACCCGCTGTTTCCACCAGTGCTCTTGGAAATCTAGGCTAGGAAAGGGGCCCTGTGGGCACTGGACCCTACAAGACTGAGTCTAGGAGCAGCACTGCATAAAGTCAGACCCCCACCTTCAAGGAGCCAGCCACCTAGTTAAGGGCATGCATATGCCACCACTTCTTACCTTTGAGCACTTGGGGGTGGGAGAATGGAGGAGGGCCCATGGTATAGGGTAGAGGTCATGGAAAAAGCAGAGAAGCCCTGTGGAAGGGAAGAGGCTTGGGGTTCTGGAGGTGGAGGAATGGGTGTGATCGGCCTTAGAGGCTGAGGGGCCTGGGTGTACCTCTCTGCCCCACTCATATGGTAGTTTGAAGGGGACCATCCTCTGTTGGGTGGGAAGGGGTAACAGTCAGTCCAGGTCTCAGGAGAGCTGTGACTGTCCTAGATATCTGAGTCTGACAGCCTCCTTCCCCTGAGATGTGGTCCCAAGGCCTTGCCCTCTTTCCCTGGCCTTTCCAGACAGTTGTCATTCTCCTCTTCCTACATCCCCCAATTCCTGGCCCTCTTCTAGACCATTCCATCCCCCTACCCAGGTCCAGCAGTATACTGTCTAGACTGGACCCAGCCCCTCCCCCACCCTGACATGGCACACCTGCACACACACACCTAGGGGCACCTTGGTGGCTTGTACTCACCAGATGTCTAGTGTGTTTTTTGAAAGCCGTGGGCCCTGGCTAAGTGTCTCAGTTGGTTACAGCATCATTCCATTAACCAGAAAAGTTGTGGATTTGATTCCCAGTCAGGGCACTTACTTAGGTTGTGAGTTTGATTCCCTGTTGGGGCACATATGGGAGGCAACCAACTGATGTTTCTCTCTCACATCAATGTTTCTCTCTTTCTCTTCCTTCCTTGCTGTCTCTAAAATTAATATCCTTGAGTGATGATTTTTTAAAAAAAACTGTAAGATGGGAGTTTTTTCCATGGAAAAGTCTCTTTTGCCCAAGTAGGATACAAGCTGCTGTGGGTACTGGTGGTGGAAAGCCTAAGGTCAGAGGTTAAGTGGCCCTTAGGCCTGGTCTGGCAGAGTCAGCTCCTCAACAGCCTGGCCTCACCAGCGCTCTTCTCACTTTCCTGTCAGCCTGTCTGAGGCTCTGCCCAGCTCACACCTGCCCAGAGTCAGCTTTGGGACAGAGTAAATCCAGGTGCAGGCCCACATGGGACCAGGTGAGTGCAGAGTCTGGATAGGAGGTCTTTCCCTCACCCCTGCAGAGCATGGTAAGCTCTTTGCTCTACTTCAAGTTGAGCAGAAAACATGCTACCAACCATTGCTGTAGCGCTGTCCATGGAAGGAACCTGGACCTGAGCCAGCTTGCTAGACCACACTGGGTGGGCCCTTTCAAGCCCCTTCTCACCACATAGCTAACTATTTTTCCTAAGGAAAAGACCTAGAGTCCAGCTGCAGCCCTCTTGGCTTCCTGGCAGAGCCTCATCTCTGTTCTCCCACTCTCTGTCCAGGCCCCACGTCCATGGCAGTTGTCAGTCCCTCTCCTCAGCAGAGTGTATCTTTAACAGCCTTACCAGTGTAACTTCATTGCACTGAGGCCAAGATATGAGCACGAAGGAAGGCAGATTGCATTTAACTCTGTTCTGTTCTCTCTAGCTCCAGCATGCCCGAGAAAGACTCTGGGGCACTGCCAGGCCTGGCTCCCTCTTTTCCACACCTGTGCCATTCCTCCCCACAGGAAAGCATATTTGACCTGACTCCAGAAGGGCCTCAATACCAGACCTTCCAACTGCACCCTGTGTGTGGAAGGTAGACAGTGCCAGAGAAAGTTCCACTGCCCCCTGCCAGCCTCCATCACAGAAGGAGCCTGGCAGAACCAACAGTGGAAGTTCAAGGATCTCTAATAGTGATTTGCTTCTAGAAACAGTCAGGTGGCAGTGTCTCTGGTAGCGGAGGATAGATACAGGACCTGATTGGAAGTTGTGCAGAAGGCACTTCCCAGACTGGACAAGTTCCTGCCCCTGTGCAGCACCTTCTGAGCCTGGGGACATAAGCATGTGTGTGGATGTGAATAGCAGGCAAAAGTGTGAGGGCTTTATACCAGAGCATGCTCTCTGAGTGGTTTCACACAGACAATTCTCAGAAAACAGAGAGGAGACCTCAGTGTGGCTGAGGAGAACTGAGCTGAGACGTGTCTATCTCTGGGGGTGGGGAGGTCAGACGAGTGGAGGATACATGTTAGCTGGTCCCTACAAGTATGTGCTGAGTGGGCTCTGGGCGTGGAGGTGAAGAGGGCCACTTCTGGGTTTTAGGACCAGCTGGGGAGGACCATTTCCATTAAGCAGTTACAGTCCTTGGCAGCCCAAGAGCCTAGGCCCTCTTGGAGCCTAGGCCCGAGAGTGAGTAGGGTTGCTGAAAGAAGGCCATGACTGAACTCTGACCTGTTCTCCTTTGTAGGGTTGAGAAGCAAGCATTGTTCCTGACCCTGGCTATGACTTGGAGCCCTGAAGAAGGGACCAGTTATGGGACTTTGGCCTATAGACCCCAAGGCCACAGCCATTTTCTGCCAGATGCCTATGATGTCCCTGTGCTTGGGGCCACCATGTACTTAAGAAATGAAGGATGTGCTACCGTCTGCAAATAAATAAAGCAACTATCTTTGTTTTCAGTCATTTCCACAGCTGGCAGACAGTCACTGCTGCCTTTTCTGTGTAGCTCTGTGCTGAGCCCAGCAATGTAGGCTCATGAGACAGGCAGCACACCTTGAAGAGCACCAGAGCACCCAGCTTACCAGGGGAGACAGGTGGGAACCCATAATTCTACTGTAGCCACAGAGGCAGGTATGAGATAAAGTGGGGGGGGGAATGGTTCTTTCTAGGGACAGAGCAAGAAGAACAGGCCAGCTTCCTGACAGAGGCTCTGCCTGAGCTCCAATTTGACTCTAAATGGAGGACTGCTGGGCAAGCTAGAGGCTGGTTACAGTGGGATCCCAGGTGTAGGCTTGGGGGAGCAAAGACTGCACACATTAGGCATTTGCAGAAAGCAAGTGGGGGCCATAGGGCAGGGGGTATATGCCAGGCAAAACTGCTACAGGGCTGTCTAGCAGGGAGCAGCACTGTCCACTCCCTCTGAGTGATGCCACACGCATTCCCATGGGAGGTTGGGCTCAAGTGGGACAGGACTCCTGCAAGCTGGTGAGGTGAGCCAGGGCACAGATGGAGGCTGAGCTCAGGAGTTAAAATGGGAGGACTCTGGGTCTGAGTGGAAGAGAGGGGATCAAGGATGATTTCCAGATTTCTGACTTGGGTGCTGTTGATTCTATAGACTAAAATAAGGGACACAAGGGATTGAGAGAGGCAGATGGCAGCTATATTTGCAATATGCTGTGTTCGGTTTGGGTCCAAACACTGGCCTGCTAGTCCTTGACCTTTGGCAGGATCCCTACCTAAGGTACCTGGAGTACCTAGGGCTGTACTCGGGCCTGGCCTAGTGCATAGAGGCAGCAAGAGGAATGTGAGCCAGGGTTTCCGATCTACTAACTACTCAGCTGGTGCCCTTGGATTTCCTGCTAAAGTCTGGAGAGCCCCAAGTCATCTGGAGCCAACAGGCTGCAATCTTAACTCAGGCTTTGCAACCCAAACATCTCTGCTCATCCCCAGATTCTCATTTGCAAACTCAAATGGGAGGATGAGGCTTGGCAGTGTCCAGGTGTCTGAGCAGGTAGCATAAAGCAGTTTTATTCAGCCAGGCTACTATTGGCTGATAGGAAAAGAGCTTTAAGAGACGTCCTATCTAGAAGTTCTGGGTCTGCTTACCAAACCACACAGAGGTGAATGGTCAGGGTGGATGTCAGGGTGCTCTATCCTGAGCCCCCTCTCAACCTCCCACTGACAGCCCAGGGAGGGGCTTGCCCTAGGCAAGGTCAGCCTAATGGACAGGTCACCTGGCTGATTGATCTTTTTTAAACGTATTTTTATTGTATTTTTTCATTACCATTTATCCTCCATATACCTTCTTCCACCTCCACCTGGCTGATTGATCTAAGACATCAGAACAACTGGCTGAATGACTGACATCAGAACAGTCATTCAGCCAGAAACTGCTGAGGCCTTCTGAGAGTCTTTCAGAAGCCTCTGGTGTCCAGGGCTTTGTCCAACTTCCAAATTTCACAGGAATAACTCCAGATTCCATACTCCTACCCAGGAGTCATTTAGGGGCAACTGTATGTACACATGGGTCTGTGTGTACCTGTCTACCTGTATGTGTATATACATAAAAGTACCTTTGTGTGCATATGCATGTATATGCATGTGTACTTGTGCACAGGCAGCCACCTGTGTTCATCATTTGCTAATGCTCCTAGCCTCTCTCTACTTGGATCTCAGCCCATTTCCCTGACTTTTCTGGAGTCAGAACCAGCTTCCCTTGCCTGATATCCATCCCTCCCCTGCTGGGGATTTAAGGGGTGTGTGTCCAGAGCCATCTGTGTCAGTGTATTGGAATGTCAGTGTGTGGGGTATAGAGGGAGTGCATGTACTTAGGGTGCAGGCTTTGTTGCATATGTGTATATATCACTTGACCTGCTTACATGTGGACCTGCATCTCCAATCCCTCCACACAGCTATACCTATAGAAGTCAGGCCTGAGAGAGCACTACATGGGTGAGAGCTATGTCCAGTAGGGTGTGGACCTGGAGGCAGACAATCCCAGGGTCAGGCCTCGGCTGTGTGACTATTGAAAGGGGTATTAATACTCATCCGGCCCAGTTGTGGGGGATTAAATATGATGACACTGGCTGTGAGTGACATCCAGGATCCAACTAGGAAACTACATTAGAGGCACTCTAATTATTTAAACATAGGGAATTGAACGCAGTGAGTTGCTCACAAGGAGATGGAGGAGCTGAAACCTTAAATGTGATGGTGTAGTAACCCAGAAATTAGCAACAGTATTAAGCTTCTGTCACCCCAGGGCTAAAGGGACAAAGGGAAGAGACAGGACTGCCCCGTGGAAGCTACACCACAGGGGCCCTGCTGAGAAGAGCTGGTACCACTGACAGAACTCTGCTGCTGCAAGAGATGCTGCATGTGGACTCTCCCCTCCTCCCACCCTCCATCTTCCATTTATTCATGCCTCTCATTGGCTGAATCTAGCAGGCATTGGAAGACCAGTCAGCCCCAGAACTGCCCCTTACATGGAGGAGTGGCACCAAGACCCAGGACCACAAGCAGGTTAGCAGGAAGCACATCAGCATGATCTTTGGGATGTACTGGGTGGGTATATGTGCCTGGGCTTAGGTGGGTGTGAGTAGTGGGTGCCAATGTCAGCATATAGACACACCTGTGTGCATTTATAGCTTGCACCGGCACATAATGGCCAGCTTGCAAAGAATATCTCATTATCAATCAATTTCATCAGACACTTAATCATGTGCTAGGTACTCTCCCACACCCATCTCACACAGTCCTACGGGATAGTTACTGCCCTTACTGCCCCACTTTACAGACCAAGGAACTGTGGCACAGAGAATGGGAGTAACTAGCCTCAGATTGTATAGTGCTCAGTGCTGATGCTGTATATCCTTTTGGAGGTGGGATCATGATTGTAGGCTGGGTCAGGCTCCAAGGACCCAGCTGAAGGGGGAAATTCTGCATTCTTTCCCCTTGCCTCACTCTCCAGATGGGGAATGTGGCCCCTGACAGAAGAAATGGCTAGAGTTCATTCCTTCCAATGTTATTATTGATCTTCGGAGGCCCAGCGGCACCAGCCCTGGGTCTGGGCCCCGGAGCAGGTTGAGGTACTGATTCCTTCCTGTTGAGAGAAAGGGGCCCTGCCTCAGGCACATGCTGCCACCTCATCCATTCACAACTGCTGCCTTCTCAACCTAACACAGACACAGGCAGAGACACTCCAAGTCAATGTAGGTGGTTGGGGTGGGGATAAGACAGGGTGCAGAGGGAATGTCTCATGTGCACTGGGCGCAGGAGGGAACAGAATGTCACTGCAGATGTGGAGAGGCTCTGCATTGTGGCCACTGCTGGAGAAGGTGACTAATTGTGACCTCTCAGGACACTTTTGGTTAAAAGCATCAAAAGCCTTTTAAAGTGTACAAACCACGAAAAAAAAAAAAACAACCAAACCAAGGAAATGATACCCTCACCCAGGTCATCTGTAGTTGTTTACAAGAGATGTCATCTTAATGCTGAAGGCATGGTTTAGTTAAAAAAGGGAAACTTGCAAACTCTGAGAAACCTGAAATGGTCATGTTCTTATGAGATGAGGTAGATATCAAGATGAACAGTGCTGTGAGCAGCAGAGGAGCCATTTCAAATAGTAATAGGGATAAGTTGCAGGGAGATTTTAAAGTCTTACTATGTGTGAACCTGGTGCAAGAGCAAAATATATGAAGCAAAATTTACAGATCAGAAAGGAGAAATAGCCAAATCTACAACTCATTGGATCTTTGAGAACATGCACCCCTCTGCCCAGCTATGACTCAAAAGAAATCAGAGTGCACAGGTCTTGTGTCCTGGGGTGTTTTTCCTGGCCCTTGCTAGGTCTCTGCAGTGCCTGCTAGGCAGCCTGAGTTGGAGTATCTGAGCAGCAGCAATCTCTGAGCCTCTAAGCCTGTTTTCTAATCTGTAAAAGGGCAACAGTCACAGGTGCCACCTCCTAGGGGCTGGGGAGGACAGGTGTCCCTCACATGGTGCTCATTAGTGTGATAGCAGAGGGCCTGCCACTCAGATTCCCTTCAAGGGAGGGAATAGAACGCTGTCCATAGACAGCCTTCAACCCTGAGTTTTCTCCCTCTGGGAAGTGCCTTTGCTAAGGAGGCATTTCACCAAAGCCACGACCCAGGGGCCCAGGGGCTACATCCAATTATTACAAGAGTGTCCCTACCTGAGAGCTGAGCAGGGCCTCAGTGAGACTGCATGGTAGCCCAGCTTGTCCCTTTGCCCTGGCTCCTTCCCCTTATACTAGTAAGTGTTGACCTCAAGGGCACCCCCTAATGAATGTCCTGAAGGTTCATTTCTGCCTCAAACTTGGCTTCTCTGTTATTGTTATTATATTGTAGGCACTGTGAAAACCATGGCAATACCTGCTCCATGCCTGCTTGGCTTATGGTCCAGCGAGAAAACTGACACTGGACCTCAGTTGTGAGAAGACCCCTAGGAACAAGCCTTGGGAGATCTAGCCCAGGGTACCCAGGCTGTGGAATCAGGGCTTCTCTGAGTTGAGGCTTATTCAAGGATCTTAAGGCCAAGCCAGAACTGGCCAGGTAAAGTGACTGACTGCTTTGTTCATCATAATGTTCACAAGGGCAAAGAACTGGAAACCTAAATGTCCAACAATAGGAGATGCATTAGATAAAATAGGATTTCACTGATGGGAATATAACCTAAAAATCTCAAGTCACCAATTCAAAAGGACCTATGCACCCCAATGTTTATAGCAGCACAATTTACAATAGCCAAGTGCTGGAAGCAACCTAAGTGCCCATAAGTAAATGAGTGGGTCAAAAAATGTGGTACATTTATACAGTGGAATACCATGCAACAGAAAAGAAGAAGGAATTCCTACCCTTCATAGCAACGTGGATGGAACTAGAGAGCATTATGCTAAGTGAAATAAGCC